AGCAAGAAAAGGAGAAGAAGAAGAAGAAACCAAGAGATTCCTGAGATCACAGCGAGAAGCAATGATTTCCTGTTTAGAAATTGCCGCGAACCGTTACAGAACCCCATGGTCGAGTATATATGGACTATTAAAGCTTTGTTATGTCCTTCAGCTAATTAAAATGTCAAATACGCTATTATCTTACGATTTTTCATAGGTTGTTACTTTTATTTGTCAGGTGCCAAACAGCTATTGACATCTTAGTCAAGCATGCATTTGATAATATTTCAAGGTTCACCTCCCGACAGAGGGATGCTATTGGAAAACTTTGGGCTTCTGTCCGTGAACAGCAAGTTCGGAGGAAGCAAGGGAAATCTGTGTCTGGGAAACTTGATGTAAATGCTTTCGAGCGTCTCCAGGCAAAATATGCAACTGAGAAGATCAGCATCCGGCGTGCTGTTGGAGGCAGTGGGGATCGGAAGTGTCAACAGTGGCTTGGTTGATTTGATTTCTGTAGTAATGCAATCTAAAGCAAGGCACATCTGGTTGCAAAATTAGTCTTTGCTAGTTATGATTGTATTTTCTCTGAGAAAGAGGACTAACATTGGTGCAAGTACATGAATTCCATGGTGAGCAAAAGTGAAACACTACCAACCTTTTTTCCGTTCCCTTGTGTCTCAGTGAAATATTACACCGTTAGATGTTGAAAATACATTAACATTCCTATGACTGATGTCACTTCCATCGTCTCATTAGTCGTTACTGGGGTGGCAAAATGGTTAAAAGAAACAGTTAACCACCTATATTACCCACTAAAAAATGGGTTGGATAAAAAACTTTTTAAAAACAGATCATATTATCCATTTAGAAAATGGATAACCAATGGGTCTAACTTTTACATTTGTAAAGCCTCAAATTATGGGTTCCTCAAGTTAGCGAGACTAAGAATTCTTTCAAAAGTTATCATATGCAATAAGTTATGGATAATATGGTTACTCATATTATTCGCCGGTTAACCTATTTTTTAACCGTATTAAATATGGATGGGGTCGGATAATTTATCGGGTTTTTTTATTCCCCATTTTCGACCCAAATCATATCCGACTCGACTCCCGTTTGTCAATCCTAGTCGTTACTATTGGAATTGTATTCGGTCGTTGCATAGAACATGGCATGCTTTACCAATATGAGCAACTTCATATAGAAGGTGCTAGAGTTATTTTGAAGGTAAGAGAACCTAATTAAAAATTGAAAATAATAAGATTTCCTGTTTCGAAAAGAATAACACTATTGCCAGTTGTGGGGCTGAAACATATTTTAAACATTTTTAACTATAAAAAATGTGAATGTATTATAAATAAAATTGTATTTAACGTGAATGTCTATATTCTAGAGAGATTTTAGGTTTGTTATTTGGTGGCTAAGTCATATTTTCTCTATAAATAGAGGGGTTCTATTCTATTGTAATTGACTCCAAAATCAATAAGATTTCTCTCTCCCTACTTTTCTTTGCAATACTCTTCTTCTTCTTTTATTGTTTCATAACACGTTATCAGCAAGAGATTTTAACCAATTGAGTAGAAGCTTTAGGATTGAGCATAATGATTGTCAATTGTTCCATAACTTCCTTCATGATTAAATTTTGGATTTAAGGTAAGTATTTTACTTTTTTTTTTTTCTCTTTTAAATTCTTGAAATTCTATAATTTGATTTTATATACAAGCAAAGACAACAAAGTTTGATTATAACTCTAATGGAGTTTGTAAGAAATTATAACCTCCTGAAGTGGTAAAATTTCTATGCATTGGATTATCAAATTCATGTATGATTGTGGGCAAAGAAGTGGAAACTCGTCCCATTGAATTTGCTTCAGTCTCATTCCCTTAAGAGAATGTGGTAGCAATATGTAATAAGTCTGAAAGAAGACAAAATTATTACCGTAAATGTATCAATGAATGTGGACGTGGCAATAGACGAAATTATAATCGTCATCATTGTGGTAATGAGAATAATAAGAATTCTCAAAATAGTCTCACTCTGTGAAAGTAATGTTTGTCATCGATTTGACATGAGATTTTGTAAAGCACATATAGATGATTATGGTCCATTCATGATTTGAATGTGACAACATGTGATTTATGAATACATATTCATTCTTCAAAGAGTATGAACGTGCTAGTGGTAGTGAATATACCGCACTCACCTCTAGAAGGAGGTTTGAGATGATATAAGAAAATAATGTCATTATTATAGCATGAATGGTCATTGGTCACGTACCTATTGTACGGCAAAATATTTTGGCAATGTGATTATTAAAGGACAATAATAATGCAAGAAACATATCTTGCATATAATTTTGACCATGACCGTAATGGTATAACTTTCTCCTTGAAAGAGATATATGACCATATGGATGTTGATGAATATGTGGTAGTACAAAATTAACTGAGAGCTCTAGAAGAGCCAATTATCAGTATTTTGGAGAAATAAAATTGATTATCAATAAGATATTGTGTTGTAGTAAGCGTCAAAGAAACTTATTTAGTTTCTAAAGTATTCGCGAAATCGGTTAGTTATATTGAGACTATAAATAAAGGAAAGATTTAATATCTTCTATTACTACAACTTGTAGCAGGGTAATATGTATGTGAAAAATTACCCGCTTTATTCTCCAGTTTGTACTACACAAATAAAAGAATACCATAATAAAGTATTTGTTTATTGATATAAAAACCCATATCATAATAAACTTGAAGTTTATTGATAATTGCACACGTCATGGTGTAAACCTGAACATTATCAATATTGATAATTTATCCAGTTGGCATAACCAGTTTAGCCATATCAATTTAAGCATGATGTGCAAAAATAAAAGAGAATTCACATGGGTAAATATTAAAGAACTAGAAAGTTCTTTATGAATTCTCTTATGTTACATGTTCTCATTAATTAATATACCAACTAAAATTGGGATTGAATCCCATGAATGCTGGAAATTTCAAAGGTGAATATGGGTCCATTCATATGCCATGTATACCACATAAGATGCATCTATGAGATAGTTACATGTGCGATTATTATTGACCCGTAACATGGTATTTTGCGAGGTAACTTGCTCAATAATTTGATTTAGAGCATAGTTTCCAGATTTTTTATTCAAGATAGTCTATCTTGATAAGTTGGATTACATCACAGTTGGTTTAGCAAACGATTTATTGAGTGTCTCCACTTAATAGCTAAACAATTGCTTATGAGAACAAAGTTATCTATATCAGTTTGATATACGTTATATACCAAAGTATATTATTTTCTCCCCTCACAAGTGGGTCAGGAACCAAATAATTCCATCTTATTACTATTGATGTGTGGTGTATATTTTGATTAACACCATAACGTACAAAGGTGGATTTTTAAAGTTGAGTGCAAATTAGTTTTTCTAACATGAGGGGGAGACAGGATAAGCAGTTGAGAAAAAGTTACGTGGAATGAATTATCATTTCTACATCTAGATCCCCAAATAAGATAATATGAACTTGAAGTTCCTAAAAAGATAATTCATGTGCAATATATTGCAAAGCATGGCAGACGCATTTGCCGACCTAAAGAAAGTAACTATATTCTCACTGCAAATGCTCCTATTAGAATAAGTCCTAGAAGAACAAAGTCTATGGTACGCTTAAAGTGTATAGACAAATCAGTTTCAAATAAAACTTTTTGATAAAGAAGATGAGCAAATGATCATAATAATGAGGCAAGTGATCTAGAAGATCACATGACATAACACTTCATAAAATCTCATGAGAGATTCAGGTACCTGAATATATGAATGAAGAGATCTCTATGTTATGTCTTTATGAAAAATAAGGAGGCTGGAACTGATATAAAATGTTTGTCGACAACATCTATATATATATATATATATATATATATAGTTTTGGACCTGCAGTTCATATGAAAGACATGTAGTTTTGGACCTGCAGTTCAAACACTTGAAAGTATAAAGTCTATGATATGTGCAATCAGTTTTCGATATCTTATTTGTCTATCATGACATGAAAACTTGATATGCATCTAATTAAAATATATTATATGACTTATATGAAAATCCTTGAAGGATTTAAATCGCTTAAACCATATACAATTCTTAGTCCTGAAGTACCATATCCTAAGTGATATTTGCGCACATTTGTATCTTGCTATAACTATAAGCATGATAATGTGATAGCGAGAATTTTCAAGGTGCAACATATTCATTGGAGTTTATATGGGTGATTTATTCACCAAATCTCTGCCGACGTCAACCTTCAAGAAGCTAGTGCACAAGATTGGGATGCGAAGGCTTAAAGATGTGAATTGATGCTCTCATCATTGGGAGTTAATACGCGTTGTACTCTTTTTCCCTTATAAGGTTTTGTCCCACTGGATTTTCCTTGCAAGATTTTTAACGAGGCAACCAAAAGGCATATTGTTAGATATGTGTACTCTTTTTCCTTTTTTAGGATTTTTTTCCTATTGGGTTTTATTTTAGTTAAGGTTTTAATGAGGCACATTACTGTTGAATAGACATTCAAGGGGGAGTGTTATAAATAGAATTGTATTTAAGGTGAATGTTTATATTCTAGAGAGATTATAGGGTTTGTTACTTGGTGGCTAAGTTACTTTTCCCCTGTAAATAGAGGGGTTCTATTCTATTGTAACTGACTCCAAAATCAATAAGAATTCTCTCTCCATACTTTTCTTTGCAATACTCTTCTTCTTTTATTGTTTCATAACAGAATTCCAGTAATATTGAATAATCAATCTTCCTTTAAATCGTTTCATATTTTTGGGACGAATGTACTGAAAAGAAAACTTTTGGAGGGGGAGAGTGATAGATGAGAAGAAGTCTTGTACCAACGAAGAAAATATTTTGGGGGACTTGAAAAGCTGGCAAAGCAAAATGGCGTTTTACGCAATTGCAAACAAAAGATGGGGAAAAATGTGTGAAGATCTCAAACTACATGGGTATCCAATGCAAAAAATAAAACCCTAAACCCTAATCTCCAACCACATGCCTCTCTCTATAAATTTGCTAAAACCCTACTTACTTACAATTGTCTCCAAAATCTTCTTCTGCACCCAAAGGTATGTCACTTGTCTTCTCTTTTCACCAATTGGTTACTTTCAGCTTGTCTTTTTTTATTTTTTTTTTATTTTTTTTTGTAATCCCTATTTATGAGAAGAAGCACATATCGAAGGCTTCACAGTCAGAATTTTGAGAAACGCTGTGTGAGCTCAAAATTTGTGCTATATCGAAATTTCATATAACTAATCCATTTATTGGTGTCCTCTTGATCTGCATTTGTTGCAATTACTCAGGAGGGTTCGTTATGTGATTGACATTTTTGTTATACTTCATATGAAATATATTTTTTGAATCTGAATTTGTTTTCACCACACTGTATTATGTATTTAGAATTTTAAGGTAGTGGATATGGAGTAAGAATGCACTCATTACCCCTTTGTGATGGTTAATGCGAACTTAGTATAAGCATAAAAATATATATATTTTGATAAATTTGTATATATAGGCTGAGCTCAAAACCGTGAGTGTATATGCTTCCAGATAACTTTACCCCTGCTTTGGGTGTTATTTTCATTGTCCTCAAAGCAATGTTGTGTTATGATGTTCTTGTAGAAAATGCGGGGACTTCCACAGCTTAGGATGTTTTGTTGTTAAGACTTCCACAGCTTAGGATGTTTTGTTGTTATCCGTAGCACGAGTTGAGCATTGTTGTGACTGATATAAAAATGCTGTGAAAAAAATGAGCATGGGTGCTGTCTAGTTTATCATCCAGTCATGCTGAGTGGTAGAATTTGTATATCTGATGTCTTTCTCTTGGTAGAGATGCTATAAATTTGTACTCCTGTTTTTTGGTCAAGTATTTAAACATAGCTTCTATTTTAGATGATTATTTTACTTGCAGGTTTTCTTAAATATGATAGTGTGCTCTGGGTCTGTATACAGAAAAATATAGTAGTTAGGGGGGATTTAGGGGGGTAGACGGGGTTCACCTGGATCCCCTTTGCGGAAAATAACACTGTACCTATAAGACAAATTCCATTTTGTGCTTCTATACATTATATTTTGAATTCCCTTGCCATAACCCAAAAGCATAGCTCAGTGGTCATGGGGCTTTAAAACCTTTGTGAGGTTGCTGGTTTAATTCCTACAAGCCACAGTCCTTTTTAATTTTTTAACAACCCTTTTAGCGAAAATTCTTCCTTCGCCACTGATAGTAGTTGGAGGATATGCTGATTAAAGAAATTTTGATACGAGTACGTTTCTTGATTATATGCTCATTTTGGATAAGTTTGCAGAAAAGGTTGTCATTACGTTTTTTTTTTGTTCAGATAGTTTGTTCCTCTTTTTTTTTCCTTTTATCATTCTTTTTCCCTTTGTTTTGTTTTTTGTCATGGAAGGTTATTTGAGAATCTTCTGTTCTATCATACTAAATAGTCTTTTAGCGTGTATTAACTGGTGTATGCATGTTATCATTCAGGTTTAAAAGTAATTATGGCGAAAAATCCAAAGGTTTTCTTTGACATATTGATTGGCAAGGCCAAGGCTGGGAGAGTTGTGATGGAACTGTTTAAAGATAAGACTCCTAAAACTGCTGAAAATTTCCGTGCTCTCTGCACTGGTGAAAAAGGGATTGGGCAGTTAGGGAAGCCCTTACATTACAAAGGCTCGGTATTTCATCGTATCATTCCACACTTCATGTGCCAGGGTGGAGATTTCACCAAAGGAAATGGGACTGGAGGAGAATCGATATATGGTGCAAAATTTGCTGATGAGGACTTCAGTGTGATGCATACTACACCCGGCCTTCTTTCAATGGCAAATGCTGGACCAAACACCAATGGATCTCAGTTCTTTATCACCACAGTACCAACGCCTTGGCTTGATGGGAAACACGTTGTATTTGGCAAAGTTGTAGACGGCTATAGTGTTGTCAAGGAAATGGAAAATGTGGGTTCAGATAGTGGGAAAACATCATGCACTGTCTCCATTGAAGATTGTGGGGAGCTAAAGGAGAACTAAGTGAGGAGATAATGTAGTTTTTGAGCAACATATCATGGTACTGGAGTTTTACTCACCTAGGCTGTGTAAAGATCTTATATGCAGGTTTTTTTTGACGAGCTGCTATTATTTGTAGATGTTTGCAAAGTTATGTAGTTTCATTCAATAATCGGTGCAATGACATTGTATTTTGCTTCTTACCTTGGTCTAATTCCCTTCACTTGGGATTATACTCTAGATTATGTTCAATAAAATTGAAGGAGCCTTTCCTTGATTTCCCCATGTAATGGATTTTTTTTGTCTAAATTTTGGTGAGCAGAGCAGGGTTATTTTGGTTTCGGTAGGATACTTGAAACACCGTATGTATAATAACAGTGACGACAAATTCGCAGAGAGATCCTGGAAAAGAAAACGCCATATGTATAAAAGGAAAAATACATAAGTATCTCTTTGACCTATAGTCATATTTTCAACTTCACACTTAAAGTTTGGGGGGTCCTATTATCCCTTTAACTAAAGTGGAGTAAATATCCTCTTGAAAGATGACACGGCACAAAAAGTGTGTTCACTTTTTGGAGGCGTGTGACAGCATAAAATTGCCTTAAAAATGATGGTCTGGCAGAACTAGGGCTGCCAAGTGGGTTGGGCCCGGTCCTAAACGGGTCTAAGTGGGCCGGTCCTAAGTCGTCCCGGACTTCACGAGCTTTTTGTAGGAATCAGTCTGGGATCGGGACCACGAACTAATGGTCCCCGGCTAAGTGGGTTGATCCCGGGCCTATGTGGTCCCAACGGATAAACTTTCTATTGTTTTTTTAAATCTTATATAAGTTAGAAAAAAAAGATGGTAATAAAAATATCTAAGACAGTGCATTATAATTTTTATTATAGCATTAACAAAATATAGCAATATCTTTCTTAGTCTTTCTCCCCCCTATGGAATGAGCACAACAAGGTGCTAATACTAGCATTGAGAAGAAAAAGAAACTAATCAAGATGTGCCAAAATACAAGTTACATATTACTTTACATAGTATCTCTTTCAAACTTCATAAATCCATTAAGGTCCGAAGGAATTTCTGTTGGTGGTGGCGGAAAAAAAGCTTAGTCATCACCGCTTCCGGGCGAAGCAGAATCCTCTGCAAGTTCAACTAGCATTTCTTCGTAAGCTTCGTCTACCTCTGGTTGCGATTCAGCAAGTCCAAAAATTCTTCTTTCTGAACGGATCCAATCTCTGAAAAGTACTGATTTTTCCAAGCTCTCCCTCATAGACGCTCTATAATCACCGAGTTGAAGTCTTGCTTGACTGAAAGCGCTCTCCGATGCCACTGTTGAAGCTTGAATAGTTAAAATGTCTCGGGCCATACTTGAAAGAATCGGAAAGTGTTTTTCTTTGTCCTGCCACCATTCCAAAATATTAAATGAGCCGTCGGGATTCACTTCCTCAATTTCCTTGTGACAACTAAACTTCAAGCTCATTTAGTTGTGAAAAATCACTAGTACTAGAACTTTGAGAACCCCTGAACCCGGCCCAAGCACTAAGTGCTCTTACTCCCGCAGTTCTTTTAGATGATTGAGAATCAGAAGAAGAAGGAGTTGGAACATTTGGTCTAGCCTGATCTAATGCAACTTAATAAACATTATAAATAGTTTGAGCATTTATTTTAATTGAGGCTATTGCTTTCGAAAGTTTAGACAACTCCTCTTCTTCAAGTGCTAAACCATTATAAACAGTTTCATACCAAAATTGAGGACCTCCTAATTTTATAGTAGGATTTAACAAGGCAGCAACACCATAAATAGGGGGAATAGGAAAAAAATATTTTTTAAACTTTTTCTCATATAATCAATAGCTTGTTCATAAATTTCCCCACCCTCTGAAAAAATGAGTAAACAAATTTGCAAGTTCTGCAATATAAACTAAACGGCTAGAAGTAGTAGGATAATATTTTCCAGAAAATTCATTTGTAGCAACATGAAATTTTTCTAAAAAATCTACAAGCATTTTAACATTAGCCCAATCCGCATTTGTAAAGTGCTCATCATCATCACTTACATGAGCATTAAACGTTGAGTTTATGGGGTTTCTATATTCATATGCAACAACTAAACTTTCATACATGTAATTCCATCTACTTGGACAAGCTTTAGGAACCTTTCTTTCTCTTACGCCAAATTCATCGCATCTTTTAAAATATTTTCTAAGTCTACTTCTACGGTTTGAATAAAAAGGCCGGTTAGGAGCCATTTTAACCTTTTCAATTTTAATATTTAAAATTTTCAAACCATCACCCACAATTAAATGGTAAATATGACAAATACATCTAACATGAAAAATCTTACTAAATGCAGGACTTAGTGTAGTGGTACGCAAGGCTACAATATTTGTGTTACTAGTAGCATTATCCATTGAAACTGACATGATTTTATCAATAATGAAAAATATCTACAAATATCCGTAACTGGGCCAGCAATAAACTACTCTGTGTGACGTGAATTAATTATTCTATAAGCAATAATGCGCTTTTGTATTATCCACTCCTCATCAATCCAATGACTGGTAACAGTAAGGTAATCACAGTCATTACCACTTCTACCAATATCAGTTGTAATAGCAACACGACAATTTATATAAGTAAATAAATAGCGCAAATATTGTTCATATTCATTTTTATATTTATAAAATATCGCTCTTTACGGTTGTGCGAGGAAAACCTTTATAAGTAGGATTCCAAATTTTTTTAATATAATGCACAAAGTGAGGGTTAGAAGGAAAACTATAGGGTAAGCACATAAAAGTAACCATTTCTACCAATTCTTCCCGATCTTTTGAGTAAAAAAAGGCCAAACAATAGAATGTTTCTGACCGTTTGGGACATTGTCAGAAAAAGTAAAGGTAATAACAGGAGGGTCAGACGGGGCATCATTTGGATTATCATTAGTTGGGTTAACTTCAGGAGCAGGACTAGTGGGTGTATCGTCATCCGGGTGCGTTTCATCAAAATCTATTTGTTCATCATCATTTTCATCAATAGTTGGATTACCATAAAGAGCATTCATATATTCATGGTTTAATTGTTCACCAGCGCCAACATTATGCAAAAATTGACTCTCAGTAAATTGTAATAAAGTATTATCACTATCAAGAATAGCAGCAGGTGTAGGACGGGTATGTGGTTTGGGTCGGGGAGCCGGGGGAAGTGGAGGAGGAATAGATTGGCCAATAGATTCGCCACTCTTGGATTTTCCCTTATTTTTACCAAAAAGTTTTTTTTAAGGAAGCCATCGTAATTAATCAAATAATAGAAAATAAATAAAACAAACAAAACTATAATATTAAAAATTATGAGTTGGAACGAGTTTACCGAATTGACGAAAAACTTGTTGAAAATTGATTATCGTTGCTTCAATTCACCAACTTCACATTTTTTTCCACAAATTGTAACAATAAAGTAAGCAATTATAGAAGAAAATTAGAGAAAGATTGATGATTTTGTGAGAAAAGTGAAAGAATGAGGGGTATTTATAGTTGAAAATAGGAAACAAGTGTAATTATAAAAAGTTTGGATTAAAACATGGGGAGGGGTTAAATGACTATTTTGTAAATAGCCGACGGCTATTTTGGCATCCCAAATGGCTAATTTTTAAATGCTCAAACGGGCAATTTTTTTTTTTAAAATTGATCGTTGGGCTCGTTTAGGATCGCTTGAACCGGCCCACTTCCCATCCGCTCCGGGTCTCCCGGGCCTCGCGCTCAGGACCGGCCCACTACCCAGCTCACCTCCCCACGGTCCCAGTCCTATACAGTTAGGACATTTTAGGCCCACAACCCATATGGGCTGCGATCCTAGGCCGGTCCCGGTCCTGGTCGACCCACTTGCCAGCCCTAGGCATAACTCTAGAATTTGAGAGTATCAAAATCACGAGGGACAGTTTTATCTTCGGTGACGACAACGATTCTAATTTTTTATTATTTTTGTACTATTTTATGAGAATTTCTCGAGGATTAAAAATCTACCTTTCTTTTATGTTTACTCTATTTGGTTGGCGTTAGTTGGAACTTGGAATTATGTTTATATTATTGTAATAAAAATTCTATGGTTATGTGGAAAAAAAATAGAGGTGGTGAATGCCACGAGAGAAATAACAGAGAAAGAAAGGTAAAGAAAAAATTAATTTTAGTGGTAAAAAATATTGAGGCGTAGGTCGTGATATTTTAAGTAAAAATGGCGTGTGGTAGCCACTAAATAAGGCGGTGTTTATTTTTTATCCACCAATTCTAATGCTGAGCAAAAATAGCCACTACTCTATTAAAATTATTTTGAAAAGACAGATTTACCCTTTCTTCTATTCTTATATTTCCAAACCCTTATTTTATACGTTCAGAGGAAAAAATTGACAGCCAAAATTTTAGAGCCAAATTTCGCTCCCTAAGTATCGTTCCTTGCATGCAAATCATTGTTCGATTTGTTCCTGCCCAGCGATTCTCAGTAGTTTGTTGCAGTTAATCTGTTCTCCTTTGTCATCTTCTTTGCATCGAACTAGCGAACTGGTATATATTTTATTTTGCTTTTATGCATTTTTCTTTTTGTATAACTGTAATCGCGATCAATTTTGTGTTTGGCATCAAATACGTAGGAAATTTCGAAAATCATGATTATAACTTGATTTAGTGTGGAATAAGTTGCGGATTTTTGTTAGGAAGTTATTCAGAACATTTTTGTATTGAAATGTGTTTGAGGTTCAATCAATATATTTGATTATATAAGGATATTTCATAAAAATAGTCGTATGAATTCATAAGCTGACCGTGTTTATGAATTTTTAGTTAACTGTGCTTTTATAAGAGTTAAGGACCAAGTGTCCTTAACTTTTTAACTTGTAATTCAAAGTTAAGGACCAAGTATCCTTAACTTTTGAACTTGTAATTCAAAGTTCAGGACCAAGTGTCCTTAACTTTTGAACTTGTAATTCAAAGTTCAGGACCAAGTGTCCTTAACTTTTGAATTTGGAATTCAAAGTTAAGGACCAAGTGTCCTTAACTTTTTAACTTGGAAATCAAAGTTAAGGACCAGGTGTCCTTAACTTTTGAACTTGTAATTCAAAGTTCAGGACCAAGTGTCCTTAACTTTTGAACATGGAATTCAAAGTTAAGGACCAAGTGTCCTCAACTTTTGAACTTGGAAATCAAACTTCAGGACCAAGTGTACTTAACTTTTGAACTTGGAACTCAAACTTCAGGACGAAGTGTCCTTAACTTTTGAACTTGGAACTCAAACTTCAGGA